CCCCAAAACCCCAAAACCCCAAAACCCCAAAACCCCAAAACCCCTTATTTTATGATTTTTATTGAGAAGTTAAGATTATATGCCTGAGTTATATTCTTCCAATTTCTTCATCAGGGTATCAGCATATCCTGGAGAATAGTACTGCACGATGTCTGGAGGGAAATGAGTATTGATCTCATCAATGTATTCTCGAAGCTTTGATCCAGGCTCAGCCTCGATCTTCTGAATTTTCTGGAATCCTCCACTCTGCAAGAAAGCCTTTTGGGCTTCGAGATTGGATGGCAAGGTCTTAGCAAACTGAGCACACACGTAAGTCTGAATGTTTGGAGGAGCAAGCTGTAGAAGAGGTTCCAAAGCAGGCAAATGTGTACACATCTGGACAACATTCTTCAAAGCTTTCTTAGCTTTATCCTGGAGATCCTTGGAGCTCTCAGGAAGCATATAGACAGCTAAAAGTCTAGAAAGAACATCTTCTGATGCCAAAGCTTTAGCATGCTCTGAAGAGTGTCTTCCGATTTGTCCAAGACTCCATGAGGCGGCAGCTTTGATATGGTCTTCTGGTTCATTGATGAGGGCATCTTTGAGTGGAGCAATTCCTTTTGAAACGATAACGGCCATGGCTAGACTTTCGTCGAATGCAGAGATATAACCGAGAGTCATGATTCCTGGAAGTCTTGAGTTACCCTTACTTTCTGAGATATAATCTACTATAGCTCCAGATCCTCCAGAATGTACGATCAACTTAGCAAGCTCAGTTGTTTGTTTGGCAATTTCTCGAATACAAGTGGCTGCATTCTTTCGAACTTGATTGTCAAGGTCCTTCAATCAATTCAAAATTCTTGGGAAGATTTCAGCTTCGACAACAACTTCGGCAAGATCGACGGTGTGCTTAGCAATCTGTGCGAGACAAGCACAGACTTGTCTCTTGAGTTGAGCATCTGGGTGAGAGATTAAAGCAGCAAGGAAAGGAACTGCTCCTTGGTCAACAACAGCTTGGGCAAGTTCCTCAGTATGCTTAGCGATTTCGCTAAGAGCAGTGGCAGAGATTCTTTTCAAGGTGAGTTCTGGTTCTTGGACACAGAGGACTAAGAGTCCTACAGCTCCAGCGTCAACTACTGCTTGAGCAAGCTCAGCAGTGTGCTTAGATATGTAGGAAAGAGCCCATGCGGCAGCTTCCTTCACGCTTGGATCAAATTCTTCTAAGCAGTTGACGAGAGCATCTAGAGCCCCAGAGTTGACAACAGCTTTTGCCAATGTAGGGGAGTGCTTGGCAACAGCTCTAAGGACGAAGGCAGCTGCCTTCTTATAGAACCTGTTCTGGTCAGACAAAGAATACACAAGTTGCGGAAGGATCTCATTAGATACAACTGCTTCAGCAAGCTCGTCAGAGTAATTAGCAAGTCTTCCTAGGGCCAAGGCAGCAGATTGTTGGATACTTGGGACTGAATCAAGCAGCAATGGTCTCAACAAAGCCATGACTCCTGCGCTCTGCAAGGCCTCAATATTCTGTGGTCTTGTGGCAAGCTCAGCAACAGTTTGGACGAAGGTGACTCTTGCCTTCTGATAATTTTCAAATGGAGTTAAAACAGCACGGGACATAATATTCTTATATATTTAAAAATTTTATTTTGAATTTAATGGGGTTTTGGGGTTTTGGGGTTTTGGGGTTTTGGGGG